TATTTTATCACCTGCGTAGATTCACCTACGCACTGCAACAGTCAGTGAACAGATATTGACAATTCTTGCCCATTTGTAACCACACTTACCTTCCTGCCGCTCCCTCACCCCAACCCTAACCTGTTAGGACCATTGAGCTGTTGTTCATTTCCATGATTTTTTCATTTCTGGAATGTTATATAAATAGAATCTTACCACATTAAACCCCCCCCCCCCCCCCGCCTCCGGCCTCAAAATTCCCTGGCTATTCGTCCAAATTGTGTTTAATCTGCCCATCTTATTGCTGAGTAGTATTTTATGGTATGTATGTGTCACGATTTGATTAGTCACTTACCTGTTGAAGGACATTCATGTGATTATATTTTTGGCTACTGCAGATAAAGCTGCTGTGCGCATGTGTAGGTTTTTGTGTGGACATAGGTTTCTCTGGGATGCATGCCCAGAAGTGCAAATGCTGAGTCAGAAGGTCAGATGGTAGTCGCATATTTTCATCAGTGTTTGCATGCAGTGTGTGTGTGTGTGTGTGTGTGAGAGAGAGAGAGAGAGAGAGAGAGAGAGAGAGAGAGAGACTATGAAATTGTATCCCTTGTATAGATTTGTATAGATTCTGGTAACTGTGACTGTAGTCAGAATGCAGAACTGGCCCACCTGTGTCCCTCCTCTGTACTAGTCAGATCCTTCCTCCAACCTTAACCACTGAATATGTTCTCTCTTCCTGGAATTTTGCCTGTTATACATAGAGCTGCTGTGAACATCTGTCTATAGGCTTTTGTGTGGATACATTTTCATTTCTACAGGATGAATTCCCGGAAGCACGATGTCCAGGTCATATGGTAGTTGTATGTCTCATTCTTAAAAAGACTCCCCAACTCTTTTCTATAGTGACTGTACCGTTTTCTCTCCTACCAGTAACTTGTAAGAGATGCAGTTGCTCCCCATTCTCACTAGCACGTGATATTGTCAGCATTTTTATTTCTTAATCCTCACCCAAAGATAAGTTTCTGTTGATTTTTAGAGAGAGGACAGGGGAAAGAAGAGAGAGAAACATCGATGTGAGAGAAACATCAATCCTCCGTACATGCCCTGACCAGGGATCGAAACTGCCACCTAGGCACGTGCCGGCCACTTTTCAGTGTCTGGGATGACGCCCCACCCATCTGAGCCGCCAGGCCAGGGCAATATTGTATTTTTAACTTTTATCTATTCTGCTGGTTGGGTAGTGGTATTTTATAGCTTTAATTTGCATTTTTCTAACAGCCTCAGCTTTCCTTTGATTAATGTTCGCATGGTGTCTGATAGTGGGCAGAGGTGTTATGACCACTGTAATGAGTGAGTGCCTCCGGAATGACAAACGAAACAGGCACCTCCACAGAATATGACAGTTTATCATAAGGTAATTCACTTACAGGAAGGCTGGGTTGGAGGGGAACAGAAGACCCAGCAATTTTGCACAGATTAATCTCTGCTAACAGACCTGTTACAGTACTTTTTTTATACTATAACTCAGGTACTGATGATTGACAAAGAGACAACCACCTCCTGGTGGTCTTGTGATAGATGATGGCTTATAATCAATACTTTCACCAGTTTTGATACTAGACACTGGGTCCGAGGCTGCCTGTCACTACTTGAGTGAAATGAAGCACAGACAGGGCGGAATCCTATCTGAGCATTTGTTCCAATAATGCCACCAGTGTGGGGAGAGCAGCAGGTCATCCTGGAAATTCTCTTCTGATCCGCCCTTGTCAACTGGCTGAGGGAAAAGGGGCTGTGAGTGTGGGCTATGGGCTATGAGTGTGGGCTGTGGGCTGTGAGTGTGGGCTGTTGGCTGAGTGTGGGCTGTTGGCTGTGAGTGTGGGCTGTTGGCTGTATGGGCTATTGACTGTGTGGGCTGTTGGCTGTGTGGGCTATGAGTGTGGGCTGTGGGCTGTGAGTGTGGGCTATGAGTGTGGGCTGTGGGCTGTGAGTGTGGGCTATGAGTGTGGGCTGTGGGCTGTGAGTGTGGGCTATGAGTGTGGGCTGTGGGCTGTGAGTGTGGGCTATGAGTGTGGGCTGTGGGCTGTGAGTGTGGGCTATGAGTGTGGGCTGTGGGCTGTGAGTGTGGGCTATGAGTGTGGGCTGTGGGCTGTGAGTGTGGGCTATGAGTGTGGGCTGTGGGCTGTGAGTGTGGGCTATGAGTGTGGGCTGTGGGCTGTGAGTGTGGGCTATGAGTGTGGGCTGTGGGCTGTGAGTGTGGGCTATGAGTGTGGGCTGTGGGCTGTGAGTGTGGGCTATGAGTGTGGGCTGTGGGCTGTGAGTGTGGGCTATGAGTGTGGGCTGTGGGCTGTGAGTGTGGGCTATGAGTGTGGGCTGTGGGCTGTGAGTGTGGGCTATGAGTGTGGGCTGTGGGCTGTGAGTGTGGGCTATGAGTGTGGGCTGTGGGCTGTGAGTGTGGGCTATGAGTGTGGGCTGTGGGCTGTGAGTGTGGGCTATGAGTGTGGGCTGTGGGCTGTGAGTGTGGGCTATGAGTGTGGGCTGTGGGCTGTGAGTGTGGGCTATGAGTGTGGGCTGTGGGCTGTGAGTGTGGGCTATGAGTGTGGGCTGTGGGCTGTGAGTGTGGGCTATGAGTGTAGACTGAGCTGAGTGTGGGATGTTGGCTGTGAGTGTGGGCTGTGGGCTGTGAGTGTGGGCTTTGAGTGGGGGCTGTTGGCTGTGTGGGCTATGAAGTGTGGGCTATTGGCTGAGTGTGGGCTGTTGGCTGTGTGTGGGCTATTGGCTGTGTGGGCTGTGAGGGCTGTGGGCTGTGAGTGTGGGCTATTGGCTGAGTGTGGGCTGTGGGTGTAACAGGAGAGGAGGGGAGGGTCTGTAGCCTTGCCTACCTGTATCATAAAGCTTCCCCTGTAAACCACATAAAATTGTTTCACTTAAAAAATATGGATTCTAGCCGAACCGGTTTGGCTCAGTGGATAGAGCTTCGGCCTGCGGACTCAAAGGTCCCAGGTTCGATTCCGGTCAAGGGCATGTACCTTGGTTGCGGGCACATCCCCGCTGGGGGGAGTGCAGGAGGCAGCTGGTCGATCTCTCTCATCGATGTTTCTAACTCTCTATCCTTCTACCTTCCTCTCTGTAAAAAAATCAATAAAATATATTTTTCTACCCTTTGAGGCCTAATAAATTGATTTTTAATCATAATTCCTAGATATTTGAAGGGAACCTCCTTCTGTTTTTATTCTCCCAGAGTAATTTCTAAGCCACATTTAAGGAGTTTCTTTTAAAAACTTTTACTTTCTTTTAAACAGAGCAACAAACTTGGTTGCTTTTCAGAAAAAGCAGAAGAAGGAAATCAATAAAATATATTTTTAAAAAATATATGGATTCTAGCCCTAACCGGTTTGGTTCAGTAGATAGAGCGTCAGCCTGCGGACTCAAGGGTCCCAGGTTTGATTCCGGTCAAAGGGAATGTACCTTGGCTGCGGGCACATGCCCAGTAGGGGGCGGGCAGGAGGCAGCTGATCTATGCTTCTCGCTCATTGATGTTTCTAACTCTCTATCCCTCTTCCTTCCTCTCTGTAAAAAATCAATAAAATATATTTTAAAAAAAGAAAAAGAAAAAATATGGATTCTAGCCCTGGCCGGGCGGCTCCGCTGGTTAGAGTGTTGTCCCATACACCAAAAGGTTGCAGGTTCGATCCCTGCTTGGGGCACATAGAGACAAGCAATCCGTTTCTCTCTTATCAATGTTTTTCTCTCAATCGTTCGCTCTCTCTAAAATCAATAAACATATACTCTGGTGAGGATTAACGTATTATATACGTATTGTGGAAATCTCCGTATTTTTTATTATTTGTAACCACCACTTGAGGATGTTTATTGATGTGATGGGGAGGGGGAGGGGAGAGAATATTGCTTTGTTGTCCCCCTTATTTTTGCATTCATTGGTTGGTTCTCATATGTATCCTGACCGGGAATCCCACCTGCTGCTTGGTGTATTGAGACAATGCTCTAACCAACTGAGGTAGCCGGCCAGGGTGGAGATACCATGTACTCATTGTGCTGAATTATTTCTCTGCCTGGACATTTGCGGGAATGAAACTTTAAGGATTTTACACTTCAGTGTATAGGTTGATAGGAAGAAGTTTCTATTCCAGGAGGTGGTGCTGAAGCACAGCTTTTTTTCTCTCTTACTTGCTCTGCTGGGGTTTCTGGGACCCCTGTGGGCATGTTGGCTCTGCCATGGAACATGCCCCATCCTCCCTGAGAAGGGGGTGTCCTTTTACAATCGAGTCACCTCATTCTAAGGTGACAACCCACCATCCTGTGGATTGAAGTTTTGGGCTTTGGGCCTCCTGTGTATTCCCAGCACTGCCTTCCTGTTAGGCAGAGCCACACTGAGTGGACCAGGATGCCCCCCCTGACCCCCCCAAGTCTGCACCTTGACGGGTGGGGAAGGGATTGGCAGGGGAAGAAGGATCACACATCTGCAGCTCTGTCCTTCCTAGGACAGTTTAGCCACAGTGAGGACAGACCCCTTGGATGGAAAGTCTTCAGCACTTTGTCTACCCAGTGGGCCATGGGGGTGGGGTGGGTGGGTATTCATGTCTGAAGTCCTCTAGCAGGCTGTGGGACACTACACCCTCTGCACTGCTTCTCTGATCTTGACCCTGTGCCCAGTCTCAATGTGTGCCAGCCCCCCCAGGCCCCATCGTTGTCCCTGTCCCTCTGGTTTGCCCAGTGGGAGTTGACCCCCCGTCCTTGAACGCCATTGTGTCTACTGGGGGCTTCAGCAAGTGCTAGACTGGGCACAGCTTCTGTCCCTGGCCTTCGCCCCCGCCTCCCCTCGCACCATCTCCACGGTTCACTCAGGTGTGTCCCCTCGTTTCAGTGTGCAGCTCTCAGACATGAGTTATGTTGAGCAGGAAATCCTTTGTGAATTATAGGGGTCCAGCATGTTGTAACTTCAAGAGGAGACCACCATCACACCACATTTCTTATGGCTGTATACTATTCAAACAAAATTTAAATATTTTACAGATACTTACTTCTTTTTATTGAATTCAGTATAAACATTGTTGTGTACGATCTAACTTTTTTCTATAGTCTCCTAAGCAAAATCTCCAGTGGTAAGGTTGCTGGGTCACGGTATTTTGATACTACTGACCAGCTAATGTTATCCACTTCGACCAAGAGAAAGCGTTGAACACGGAATGCTGTGAAAGTGACTATTTACCTAAACTGTTACAGATAGTGAAATTTCAATAAAAATTTAAAAAAACTTTCTTATCCTGCTTCCCCCTCCCCATTTTAGCAGGAAGAATGAGGGTGGAATGTGACAAAGTGATGTCCATGAAATCTGCCAAGGCCCCTGCCTTAAAAGTCGCGATGGATGAAGAGCTACGCATAGGCACTTTGACCTAAGTTTGCATGAAAATGAGAAGAAACCGATTACTCACAGTTCAAGTTCACTAAAACTTTCTGTCATTAGTAACTACTTTTAACATTTTCAAAGAGTTACAGTAAAACTGTGCCCTAATGAATTAGGGATCAAAATTTATAATTGTATAAATTCAGTATAATGTTAATAGATTAATAAAAACCAGTACTTTTCAGTCTATAAAATACAAACCAATGATTAAGTATTATACTGTACACACAGATAATACACTGTACAAAAAACAGAGGGTGAATGGGGGATAGGAGCCATTCAGAAGTCTTGTTGAAATTAATTTGTATTATTGTGGATGGCAGCATTACAGGATTCTTTTTGCGTATGCTGTTATGAATTTAAGGTAGGGAACTGACTAGAATTTTCAAATACTTGTCATTATAATGGTTTTCTCTACTTTGTTCAGTAATTAATGGGCACCTCATACAAGCCAAGCAGTTCTACAAGGTAGACATAGTGGTAGTGGTGAAAAACACCTCTATTACATGGAGGTTACATTGTAGTTGGCTTAAATTTTATTTGTCCGTCAAATCTGCCACATATACTTTTGTTCCGGTGCTGCACATGATCTCCATTCATACGCCCTCTCTTCTGGGTGACTCCAATGAAATGTAAGATCCTTCTGTTGTGTTCTTCGGAACCGGGACATTGAAAACTCTGGTGTAACCATTTACCATTTTATGAAACCAGTTTCTCTCATGTAAAATCTGATGTTTACAAAGAATTCACCCCTCCAACTGCATTGTTGAGACACGTCTTATAGAGCTGCTTTCCCGCGGCCATTCCTCGAGGCTCCTGAGTTCTGAAGGAGCTTTCCACGTTCACCAGCACAGACTCTCTCATGGAGACCAAGATGTGAACTCAAACTAAAGGCCATGTCGCACCTCGCATGCCTACAGATCCCCTCCAGTGTGGATTCTCTGATGATAAACAAGATGTGATCTCTGGCTGAAGCCCTTACAACATATGTCACATATGTACGGCCTCTCTCCAGTGTGGACCCTCTGATGTGTGTGGAAATGGGAGGCCTGACTGAAGCCCTTACCGCACTGCTGACACGTGTAGGGCTTCTCTCCTGTGTGGACCCGCTGGTGAGCACTGAGCCCAGCACTCCAGCTGAATTCCTTCCCACACTGCTCACATTTAAATGGCTTCTCCCCGGTGTGAATGATCTGATGGACTTGAAGATTTGACCTCTGGCTGAAGGCCTTACCACAGGTATCGCACTTATATGGCTTCTCTCCAGTGTGCACTCTCTGGTGGGCCTGAAGATGTGAAGATTGGCTGAATCGCTTCTGACACGCTTCACATTTGAATGGTTTTTCCCCAGTGTGGACACTCTGATGAGCTTGGAGATTTGAGGCCTGGCTGAAGCCCTTCCCACACTCTTCACATTTGTAGGGTTTCTCTCCTGTGTGGACTCTCTGATGATTGTGAAGATTCAAGCTCCAGTTGAAGCGCTTCCCACACACCTCACATTTGTAGGGTTTCTCTCCAGTGTGGACTCTCTGATGGGCTTGAAAATAGGAACTCTGACTGAAGCCTTTGCCACACACATTGCATCGAAACGGTTTCTCTCCCGTGTGAACCCTCTGATGGCTCTGGAAACTTGAGGCTGAGCTAAAACCTTTCCCGCACTCTTCACATTTATATGGTTTCTCTCCCGTGTGGACTCGTTGGTGACTGTGAAGATTGAAGCTCAAACTAAAGCACTTCCCACACTCATCGCACCTGTACGGTTTCTCCTCAGTGTGGACTCTCTGATGGGTGTGAAGATTTGAGCTACAACTGAAGCGTTTACCACAATCTGCACATTTATATGGTTTCTCTCCCGTGTGGATTCTCTCGTGGGCCTGAAGATGTGACCTCTGTGTGAAGCCCTTTCCGCATATCTCGCATTTGTAAGGTTTCTCTCCAGTGTGGACTCTGCAGTGAATATTAAGATCTGTGCTACGACTGAAGCCCTTCCCACAACTTTGGCATCGATAGGGCTTCTCTCCTGTGTGAATAGGCAAGTGAGCATACAGATGTGAGGTCTGATTAAAGCTCTTCCCACACTCTACGCACGAATAGGGTTTCTCCCCAGTGTGGACTCTCTGATGAGTTTGCAGATTTGAGCTCTGACTAAAACACTTTCCACACTCATGACACCAATAACGTTTTTTTCTTGCGTGAACATATTGTTGAAGGGGAATGGCTGAGCGATAACTGGTATCCTCACGTGTACTACAGTTAAGGGACTTCTTTGCCAAGTGTGACTGCTGATGAACTTCAAGTCTGGAGCTGTCACTGAATACTTTTCCACATTCACTACACTGGTAGGTGTTCTGTCCCGTGTGGATTATACTGAGTTGGGCAAGAGGTGATACATTTGAGATGTCTTCACCACAATCTTTGTTGCTGTGAGCTTTCTCTCTTTTGTGTACTACATCATCGTCATGGTGGTGTGAATTACAAGTGAAGATGTTAGCACATGGAGCAAATATACATAACTTGTTTTTCACTGGCATCTGCTTACAACTTCTCTGATAATTCTGTGTCTCGTTCAGGTATATGTTACTCCGAGAATTCTGAGCTCTCCCTGTTGTAAACGCTTGACTTTCATTAATACTGGAATGATTCTCCGTAAGACTCATTACACAGCTGTCTTCGTGAATGGAGATTCCTGCCCCCACCTGCCCGGGGGAATTAAGTTGTTTGGGGAACTGAGAACTCTTTTCTTGAACATGTATCATGGAGACTTGACTTTTCGTTAATTTACTCACAACATGTCTCCTGATTTGCCAGCAGGAGAGCTCTCCCAAAGAAAGGCACCTTCCTCCTGCTTCACCAAGAGTCTCCATCTCATTTTCATTCCCTCCTGAAAAAATCAAGGACAGATAGTGACATCAGCAAGAAAGCGGGCTGGGAAGCTCCCAGTCCTTGTTCCCCCACTGAAATATAAAAACACCACTCGAGACCAGCAAAAACAATTGAGAGATTCCTGAAAACCGGTCAGAGCAAACGAGAGCATCCAACTGAGAAAAAGCCACACTTAAAATGGCATTAAATTTGGTACCACCTCAGGCTGAGCATTGATGAGATTCATTTAGAACCACAGGTCTATTCTAATAGGGTAGGAGGTAGATATCAACCAGCTGCAGAGCAACATAAAAACATCCCTGGAAGTTTTCAGAAAAGGAGAAAATTATTTTCTTGCCTATAAAAATGGTAAATTAAAAGTCTCCTCTTCAGCTATAGCTACTGATTCAGAGTAGTATCTATACAAATCAGCTAAATATATGCCTCAACTACAGTCCTTCACTGTACAACTTGCACACCAGGAATTGGTGTTCAAATTCACTTTCTCAATAAATAGCAAAATAAGTAGAAACTGAGTGAAGATATAGAAAACTTGAACAATACTATCAACCAACATCAGATAACACTCTTTTCAGGTGCACATGGAACCTATTCCAAAAGATACCATATTCTGGGTCAAGAAACGAGTTGTAACAATTGCAAAAGGTCTCAAGTCATACAAATGATGCTCTAACCACAACTGAATTAAATCAGAATTACGACACTACTAAATAAACTGCATCAAAAAACAAAAAGACATTATAAAGGGCATTGTGAACTAAATGATAATGAATTTGTGACTTGCTACTAAAAGAGTACTTAAAGAGACATTTATACACAACACAGGTCTCCAAGAAACTAGAAAAACAAGAGCACATTAAACCAAAGTAAATGGAAAACACACACACACACACCCAGAGTCAGGCACACTTAAAGGGATATATTTTGAGAGATGGGTATGTCATTATATAAACATCACAGAGTGCACTAGCTAGGCTGTATGGTATAGCCTATGCCACTAACCTGCATAGCACATTCTTGTACTGAATAGTGTAGGTAATTATAATACAACTAGAGGCCCAGTGCACAAAAATTCATGCACTCAGGGGGTCCCTCAGCCTGGCCTGCGCACTCTTAGAAGTCCAGGACCCCTTGGGGGATGTCTGACTGACGGGTTAGGCCCACTCCCCCAGGGGCCTAAACTGGCAGTGAGACATCCCTCTGGCAGTCCAGAAGCCTTCGGGGGATGTCCAACTAATGGCTTAGGTGAGTTAAGGATGTGGAGAGTAAAGAGAAGACAATATTTTATTTTTAAAATATATTTTTATTGATTTGAGAGACAGGAAGGGAAGGGGAGAGAGAGAAACATCGGTGTGAGAGACATCAATAGGTTGCTTCCCAGTCTGGGGATTGAACCAACAACTGGGGTATGTGCCCTGACTGGGAATCGAACTGGGAGGACGACACTCAACCAGCTGAGTCACACCGGCCAGGGTGGAACACGGGAAGTGAGTGGTCACAGAAGGACTTGGATGAAATGACTTCTGAGCAGAGACGTGAGTGAGTAAGAGAGTGGTTGGGGGTTTACGGGAAAGCAGCATTCCAGCCAGAGAAAAGAAAGTAAAAGACCCTGATGCAGAAGCATATCGCCAAATGTCAGGAACAAGTCAAGTTGGCAGCATCAAAGGGAGGGAAATGAAAGGAGAAAAATGTACAGTGGTACAGCCAGGTGAATGGGCCGACACAACAGGGCCTTCCTGGCCCCTTCAATACGTTGGGTGCTGTTTGGAGGGAAACGGAAAGCCAGTGGAGGCTATAAGCAGAGGAGAGACATAATGTGATTGATGTTTGTTTTTTTATTTATTGATTTTAGAGAGAGACAGAGAGAGAGAGAGAGGGACATCAATTTGTTATTCCACTCATGTAGACATTCATGGGTTGATTCTTACATATGCTCTAACCTGGGATTGAACCCACAGCCTTGGTGTTTCCAGACGATGCTCTAACCAACTGAGCTACCTGGCCAGGGTCTGTGACCGGTGTTTTCAAAGGGTCTCTCAGGTTGCCTTGTGGAGAACAGATCACCCAGAAGAGAGACAGAATAATGGGCTCTTACCTTCAAGGACTCTAGCTGCACAATTCTCCGCTGAATGCCCACCTCTTTGAGTTTGTATCTCCGTCATCCAAAGCTGCTCCTCTCTCTCCAACTGGGATATCACATCTGGTTTAGAGAAGAGATGCCCTGTGAAAAGACAAGATTTAAGTGGGACATTAAAGGTAAAAAGTACTACAACAAATTGGGGTTCTAATCCTATGATGGAAGGCTCTACCCCTCAAACATTTTGATGCAACTTACTAAATTAATTTCATGACTCTGCAGTGGGTCATGACCCACAGGTTTAATAAAAGATATATGAGCCCTGGCCGGTGGAGTGTCATCCTGTACAGGTTCGATTCTTGGTCAGGGCATTACTAAGACTGTGCATACGGGGGTGGGGAGGGTGCAACCGATGTTTCTCTCCTCTCTCTCCCTCTTGCTTCTTCTCTCTCTAAAATCAATAAAAACATGTCCTCTGGTAAGGATTAAAAAAAAGATATGTGGAATAAGGAGCCAGGTACAGACAAGCTCAACTGTTCATTTCTAGTTAATTTACAAAAGACAAGTGTTTGCCTTGGAACAAAGACTAGAAAGCTCTTGTCTCTACGTTCCTAATAGACTGGAGTACTGGTCTCTACAGGGTCCTGAAGCCGTGAAGTAGTGGGCAGAGGCCAGGGATGCTAGCAAACATCCTACAATGCACAGACAGTCCCCACAACAATTACCTGGCCCACAGTGTCAACTGAGAAACCCTGCTCAATGGACGAAGCCACGTTACAGAGGGCACCCGTCCTCACCCACTGAGACCAGGTTCCGGAAGTTCTCCAGGGTCACGTCTCGGTACAGCTTCCTCTGGACAGAATCCAGCAGCCCCAGCTCCTCCTCACTGAAGACCACAGCCACGTCCTTGAACGTCACCGGCTCCTACAACACCGAACACATGTAACCTCTGTTTCACATCTGGGAGGAGGGCAGCACTGAGAAGGTGGAGGAGATATGTAGGACGATGTTTCAGACTCTACGGGACCCAGAACTCATTTTAGTAGAGTTTCTCCTCCTCCCCTTCCACAATCACACCATAAAGGGAGGGAGAGGAAGAAACTAAGAGAAACATAAAAAAATCTTGTGCACATTTAACACGGTGCCCTTTATGTCCTTAAATGAAGCCTCTAGAACCCAGGCCGGGTAGCTCAGTTGGTTAGAGCATCACCCCAAAAAGCCAAGGTTGCAGGTTCAATCTCTGGTCAAGGCACATACAAGAATCAACCAGTGCCCTCACCGGTTTGGCTCAATGGATAGAGCGTCAGCCTGCGGACTCAAGGGTCCCAGGTTCGATTCTAGTCAAGGGCACATGCCTGGGCTGTGGGCTCGATCCCCAGTGGGGGGTGTGCAGGAGGCAGCCAGTCAATGATTCTCTCTCTTCGTTAATGTTTCTATCTCTCCCTTCCTCTCTGAAATCAATTTGTTAAAAAAAGATCATCTTTGGACATGTTTTTCACATATTGCCTGTTCACTTCATTTGCTCACATCCTCATGCATCAGGAAGATTCCTATTGCAAACATTAAGCCTTTTTCTTGCATTTATAAATCCTCGGCTTCACCCCCAGTCCTATTTCCTATTTGTCTCATAACTTTGTGTATGTCATTTTACTTTTTCTTCATATTTTCAAAAATTGATTTCAGAGAGAAGAAGGGAGAGGGAGAGAGAGATAGAAACACTGATGAGAGAGAAAATCGATTGGCTGCCTTCTGCACGGCCCCTATTGGGGATGGATCCCACAACCCAGGCATGTGCCCTGATAGGGAATCGAACTGTGACCTCCTGATTCATGGGGTGACCTCCTCATTCATGGGTCAATGCTCAACCACTGAGCCACACTGGCCAGGCTTTTATTCTTTTTTAACCCTCACCCAAGAACATGCTTAGAGAAAGGAATGGAGAAAGAGGGAGGGAGGGAGGGAGAAGAGGAGTGGGGATGGAAAGAGAGAGAAGCATCAGTGTGAGAAACATCTACTCGCTGCCTTCCGTACATGCCCCGACCAGGGATGGAACCTGTAAACTGGGTACATGCCCTGACCTGGAATCAAAGCGGTGCACAGGACGATGCTCAACCAACTGAGATACTCCAGCCGGCCTATGGCATTTTTCTTTATGGAAATTAAAATTATGTATCTAAAGACTTTGCTCATCTCTGTATTTCATTTGACTGGAGTTCTGAGCATCTGTGTACTGAACAACCCACTGACACATGTGGGGAAGAGACAGGTGCTAAGAAAGCTGCCCCAAGGGAGGGGCAATGTTATTTTTGGAGCCCGTCATCGACCAGGCATGCCAGGTATACAGGCAGCGTGGCCTCGGGCCCTCGATAAAGTAGTCTTGTTTCGCCTGCATCTCTCCATTTACCTTAGCTGGATTCCTGAAACTCCTGGCTCAGGTAACTGAACCTTTAGTGTGTAAAAATAACAAACAGATCCACTTCAGAATGGAATCCGAGCAGCCATCAGAGGAACTGCTTTGTAAGTTTTGCTTCTCAAGCCTTTGGGATGTCACAGGAGGCAACATAACCTTTGCACTGGGCCAGACGCAGCACTGTGTCTCAACAGCTGTTGGCAAAGCTAGCAGGAAAGCAGACATTCTTTCTTATTTTTTATTGATTTGAGAGAGAGAAGTGTCGATTTGTTCCACTGATTTATACATTCATTAGTTGTGTCCTATACGTGCCCTGACTGGGGATTGAACTGGAAACCTCGGTGTGTCGGGACTACACTCTAACCACCTGAATAACTGGCCAGCCCAGATACTCTTTACAATTAGTATCACTGCGTTATCCTATCTGCACCTGCAGACATCTCTCCTTAGCTTATTAACACCCATAGAAACTCCCTCCTTCTATTCGTGTAATTATTCCCCTTCCTTTCTCATAAATATCCCTTCCCTTGGTCTCCTAATGGGAACAATATCTGGGATTCTGCCTGAATCTCTGCTTCCCCAATACCTATTTCTTTTGGATCTCAAATGAAAGTTTGCTGCCTCTCACTTTGGCCTTTTATTTTTAGGTTAACAGTTGTCAGCCGGGGTCTGAGTGGACTTAGTAGGTATGTGAATGTTCACAAATCTGTTTATGTTAAAATACGAATAAACCCTGGCCAGGTAGCTCAGTTGGCTAGAGTGCTCCCCCCTACCCCCCAATACACTAAAGTTTCAGGTTCAATCCCCAATCAGGGCAGATACAAGAATCAACCAATGAATGCATAAATAAGTGGAACAACAAAACAATGTTTTCTCTCTCTCCTCCTCTCTCTAAAATCAATCAATAAAAATAAAATGCAAAGAAGACCATCTATATATATCCTCACACAGCTATTCCACAGAATAAAGGCCTGGCAAGTCCCTGGTGCTGCTAGACCAAGGATGTACTTCTTTAAAATATACTAACATGTCAATGAAAAAAAACCCAGAAACTTAACTATAATGCATACACGGTTTAACTTAGAATTAAAGAAAGAATGTAGCTCTTCTTGTTTGAAAACAACTAAAATTCGTTTCTTTGAGTTCAGTATCATCTGGACTTGATTGCACCAAGATATACTTTAGATATTTTTTCCCACAAAATGTGAGGCACCATGCATCAGAAAACAGTCGCTACAACTTTAAGGAGGGGGAAAAAAATGGAATTCTCAGAAATTCTGTTTGGGGGAAAAAAGGTTTTATGTTGGAAAACTGTCATTGCAAACAACTTTAAAGTGGTAAAATTCATAAAACACAAGCCCTGACCGGTTTGGCTCAGTGGATAGAGCATCAGCCTGCGGACTGAAGGGTCGCAGGTTCGATTCCAGTCAAGGGCATGTACCCTGGTTACGAGCACATCCCCAGTAGGGGGTGTGCAAGAGGCAGCTGATAGATGTTTCTCTCTCATCGATGTTTCTAACTCTCTATCCCTCTCCCTTCCTCTCTGTACAAAATCAATAAAATATATTAAAAAAAAATTCATAAAACACAAAAGTAGAGGAAAATATTAGGTGCAGACAAAAAAAGGCGACATACTAAACCTGACAAGCTCAGGGGAGGCCTGTGTGGCAGCCTTAAAAACTCAGAGACCGAAAGTAACCACAAAGGCTGGTCTCCCTAAAATTAAAACTTTTTAACTAAAAGCAGTTTATGGCAGGTAGTCATGTCCTAGGCTAGAATCTTCCCTAACAAAAGTCAATCTTTACCTTAATTGAGCCTGTCCACTGTCTTTTTGCATCTCTAATAACACACCTTTGCAATGTCAAAGCACAGGCACTGCAACAGATCAGACACCACAAATCCCCTCATTGCTATTAACCGCTGACCGTTAACTATGCTGCACCCACCTACGTAAAAGAAGTATGTGTCTATAGTTTTACCTCTTATCCAATCCCAGAGGTCCCCCCACTGCCCCCCCACTTTATTTTCTCCCACCTCCCTAAACTGTCACCAGTGGCTTTCATGTAACCCACTTATGTCTTCTCTTTTTCTTGTAATAAAATAAGGTGCAAAACTGCCAGGCTCTAGAGCAGCGGTTCGCAACCTGTGGGTCGTGACCCCTTTGGCTGTCAAACGACCCTTTCACAGGGGTTGCCTAAGACCATCCTGCATATCAGATATTTACGTTACGATTCATAACAGTAGCAACATTACAGTTCTGAAGTAGCAACGAAAATAATTTTATGGTTGGGTCACAACATGAGGAACTGTATTTAAAGGGCCAGAAGGTTGAGATCCACTGCTCTAGAACATTTTCTCAATCTGTTGAGATTTTACTTCCCAGCAATTGTTGACAGGTTTGCTCAAACACAAAAATTCTTCACAGGCTTGAATGTTTCTTACATTGACGTAGGTATACTGTGGAAAATGATGTGGCCATTTAAGTCACAAGTGATATAAAATTAAACTTTAAAAAAATCCAAAATGGCTGAGATTACAAATATATATGTGTAAATACAAATGAAAACGATATGTGGAAAAATAAACAACCAATTAGTAAACATGTTTCTAGAGTGGGAGTTGTTTTTTTTATTTAAAATAAATACCTATTGGGAGATTCCAAAATGGCGGCAGAGTAAGTGGATGCTACCCTGACACACTCCCAGGAAGAAACTGGAATTACAACTAAAACACAGAAAAACCGGGCAGAACTTCTCTGGAGATCCAGACCAGAACTTGGCTGGAGATCCTGGCTAGGCTGCTGATCAACTGAACGCTGTCTCCGTGTCATTCCTTCTTCGCTGACTCCGTCCACACCTTTGGGGACCCCTGGACCTGCTGGGGTTGGACCCCGGCATTTGGGGGGTGAGGGGCGGGAGAGAGGACCTTTAGGGAGCACAAACTGAAGAAACTGAAGCGAGAAGGAGCCCCCACAGCACTAACGGAATAGAACATGCCAAACGAGTCACAGAACCACCCGATGGGCACCCTAGCTGGTTTGGCTCAATGGATAGAGCGTCAGCTTGTGGACCGAAGGGTCCCAGGTCCGATTCCAGTCAAGGACACATGCCTGGGTTGCGGGCTTGATCCCCAATAGGGGGCATGCAGGAAGCAGCCAATAAATGATTCTCTTTCATCATCGATGTTTCTCTCTCCCTCTTTCTTCTTCTGTTGTGCACTCGATCCCCAGTAGAGGGCGTGCAGTAGGCAGCTGATCAGTGATTCTCTCTCCTCATTGATATTTCTATCTCTCTCTCCATTCCTCTCTGAAATAAATAAAAATGTTTAAAAAAAAAACACCAAAAAAATAAAAAATAAAAAAAATAAAACACAGAAAAACCATCCTGTATAATCAACTGAAGATTAGCTGGAGAGATCCCTAAAACCATGGACAGAAAGTGGAGACCACATGGAGACTGGTAGGAAGTGGAGAGGAGCGAAAGGCTGGCTGGGCTCCCACAGACAGCAGCTGAAGTTCCAGAGAGATATCTCGGCTCTGGAGGTTCCCATTGAGAATTCTGGAGTCTAAACTGCAAGCTGGGCTCCCCAGTCCAGAGGACCAGAACCAAGAAAGGTGCTCACAGAACATCTGGCTGTGAAAAGCTTTAGGGATGATGTCTGCCAAGGAGAGATGGCTGGAAATGCAGGCACCTCTTAAAGGACCAATGCACAAAATCTTGTGTACAGACACTCACCTTGGGCTCCAGCAGAGGGAGGACAGAGTGGACTGGAGCTGTATGAGCAAAAGCCAGGGTTGGGAGTTCTGGGGTTAGACCTTGGAAAGCAGACACCCCAGGTTCCTATTCTGAGTCATTCCCTCACAGACCATCGGAAAACACATACATAATTACATATTGCTTTTGTGATTAATCACTATGCTTTCATTATGTTCAATTTGTAATACTCTGGGAATGCCTTCTTTCAGAGAAAGAAGACATCTTTCTCTGAGGGAACTTTGCTATCCAGGCAGTTTTTGCATGGGGCGGGGTGGGGGGTGGGGGCAGTTGTCCCACCCTATTGGAAAACCCCTTGCCCCACCCTGGGGAGTTTCTGAGGCCCATTAAGAGACTGAGAATAGCCCTAACCAGTTTGGCTCAGTGGATAGAGCGTCGGCCTGCGGACTGAAGGGTCCCAGGTTCGATTCCAGTCAAGGGCATGTATGTTGGTTGCAGGCACATCCCCAGTGGGAGGTGTGCAAGAGGCAGCTGATGGATGTTTCTCTCTCATCGATGCTTCTAACTCTCTATCCCTCTCCCTTCCTCTCTGTAAGAAATCAATAAAATATATTTAAAAAAAGAGAGAGACTGAGAATAACAATAAGGCTGCAGGCAGAAGCAATTGCCCCACCATGTTGGAAAACTTCTTGCCCCACATGGTGGTTGATAGCCTGAGGCTACTCGAGACCAAATACAATCAGACTGCAGGCAGAGGCAGGTTTCTAGAGACTTTGAGTCTTTGCCTGGCCTAATTCAGGGCCTGGGGCTAGAAAAAGCAGAACTTGGTCCTTTCCAAAGGCACCCAGCCCCAACAGAGGGAGCTACAAGCTGTGGATTGCTGAATGCTCCAAACAGGGTATGCTGGGCCAATCAGAAACAGCATCTGACACTGTCCTATACTAGAGATTGGGCGACACAGCAGATCTATCTAATAGAGTCACAAACCCAAACAGGCAGTCAAAATGGGGAGACAAGAAAACAAGCCTCAAATTACAAGGGAATTCTCCAGTAGAAGAGCTAAATGAAATGGAGATAAGAAATTTATCAAAATGGACAAAGGACCTAAACAGACACTTCTCCATAGCGGACATACAGATGACCAAGAGACATATGAAAAAATGCTCAAAGTCACTGATCATCAAAGAGATGCAAATTTAAATGACAGTGAGGTATCATCTCATACCTATCAGACTGACTACCTAAAACAAATCAACAAATGACAAATGTTGTTGAGGATGTGGAGAAAAGGGAACCCTAGTACACTGCTGGTGGGACTGCAGACTGGTGCAGCCATTATGGAAAACAGTATAGAGTTTCCTCAAAAAATTCAGTATGGAACTGCCATTTGACCCAGTGATTCCACTTCTAAGAAACTATCCTCAGAAGGCAGAAACACCAAGGGGAGCCAAAAAAAAAAAAAAAAAAAGCCTGAAATGAAAAGAACAGAATTCTCCAAAGGAAGAGCTAAATGAAATGGAGGTAATAAATTTACCAGGCACAGAGTTCAGAATAATGATGGCAAAGATGCTCAACAGCATGAGAAAAGATAGTAACTATGATGAATGTCATAGCACTAACAGGAACACAGTGGAAGGAAAACATAGCAGATTAGGGGAAGCCGAGGTTTGGATCAGTGAATTAGAAGACAGGATAGAAAAAAAATCACTCAATCTGAGAACCAAAATGAAAAAAACAATTGAAAAACAGCTCAAGGGAGCTGTGGAACACCATGAAACATAACAATATTCACGTAATAGGAGTGCCACAAGGAGAGGGAAGTGAGCAAGGGATAGAGAATGAGTTTGAAGAAATAACAGCAGAAAACTTTCCTCACCTGGTGAAGGAAAATGTCACACAAGTTCAGGAGGCCCAGAGAGTCCCAAGCAAGAAGAACCCAAACAGGCCCATCCCCAGTCAATCATAATTAAAATGCCAAAATTTAAAGACAAAGAGAGAATCTGAAAGGCAGCAAGAGAAAAGCAATTTGTTATCTATAAAGGAGCTCCCATAAAGCTGTCAGATGATTTCTCATCAGAAACTCTATAGGCCAGAAGGGAATGGCATGAAGTATTCAAGGTAATGAAAAGGAAAGATCTGAAACCAAGATTACTATTTACAGCAAGGCTATCATTCAAAATAGATAGTGAAATAAAGAGCTTTCCAGGCAAAAAAGGCTAAAGGAGGTTGTCACTACCAAACCAGCACTGCAAGAAATGCTAAAGGGACTGCTGTAATGAGAAGAACCGAAAGAGAATCATTGGCATAGAGAATTAAAATGGCAATAGCCCTCGCCAGTTTGCTCAGTGGTTAGAGCGCCAGACTGTAGACTGAAGAGTCCCAGGTTCGATTCTAGTCAAGGGCACATGCTGGGGTTGTGGGCTCGATCCCCAGTAGGGGGGCATGCAGAAGGCAGGCAATAAATGATGCTCTCTCATCATTGATGTTCCTATCTCTCTCTCCCTTCCTCTCTGAAATCAATAAAAATATATTTATAAATAAAATGGCAATAAATAATTACCTATCAATAATAACCTTAAATGTAAATGGATTAAATGCTCCAATCAAAAGACACAGGGTAGCTAAAAGGATACGAAAACCTGACTCAAATATAGGCTATCTACAAGAGACCCACCTCAGAACAAAAGACAAACAGGATGAGAATGAAGGGATGGAAAAAAATGTTTCCATGCAAATAGAAATGAAAAAAAAGCTGGGGTGGTAATACTCATATCTGACAAAACAGACTTCAAAATGAAGGCCATCACAAGAGACAATAAACGTCGCTACATAATACTAAAAGGGATCGATCCAACAAGAGGATATAACCTTGGTAAACATACATGCACCCAATCAAGGAGCACCTAAATATATAAAAAAAACTTCTGGATCTAACGAACAAAATAAACTGTTGAACAAAATAGATTCAGAGACATAGAAGCCTGGAACAGACTGTCGAATCACAGAAGGAAGGAAGGGTGGTGGGTGAGGGGGAAGAGATCAACCGAAGAACTTGTCTGCATGTATGCATAACCCGTGAACATAGACAATAGAGTGCTGAAGGCCTGGGGCGGGGGTTGGGGTAGGCTATAAAGGGCCAATGGGAGAAAAAAGGGGACATATGTAATACTGTCAACAATATTTAATTTTAAAAATGTAAAAAAAAATACTTATTAATTTTCACGATATTATTTGGAAATAAGCAAAAAGCAAGAGCCTGCCATACAGCAATTTGTCAAGTGTCTTTGGTTCCCTTTACCCTTCCCAGGCAGAAATGTGCGTCCGACCTGAGAAATGTGTGAAATGAGATGTCATTTTAAGAAACAGAAGGGCAGACCCAACTCACCTGGAACTTGATCATTTTTCTCCTCTTCCTTGTGAGGAAAGGCAGAGTTCTGGGAAGGCAACACTGGGGAAGGGAAAGACATTGTGAGAGGGAGGCTACGGATGCTGCCAGACCACAGGGCCCTTCACAGGAGCACAAAGTGGTGCCCTTCTCTGGGCAGAGGCAGTGACCACGAAGCTAAGTGAGAAAAGGGGCCGGACTCCAGCTTCCCCTGGACCCCAGCCAGCTGCCACTGTTCATCAACATTACTTAAAACAGTCCTACCCCAAGTGCGTCTTGACATTCCAGAGTATTCCTGAACCTGGGTACTGGAGGAAATGAAAGGTAGGCAGGAGGTATAACTTAATGGGGCCAAAATGCCTGGGTTCAAATTCTGGCATGTCTATGTATTACTTCCTACTCATCAGCAGTGTAAATCTTGAGTAAGTCACTTGTCTCTCTGCGCCTCATTCCAGTCACCTATAAGTGGGGATAATAACGCCGGTATTCCCTGTTTCTTGCAGCTAAAGACAAGCAGTTGTTTCGGATTCAAAAAACTCTCCTTAAGAATGTGATTAAAAAAAAAAAAGACACAAAGTGAGTTTCAAAAAAAATCATTCTTTTAAGAAACCCAGAATTCAGAGATGATTGTTCTGCCCCATGAGTTATCATTACCCTCGGAAAAATCTAATTCTGACTGGTTGTCTCACAGATAATTCCTTGTTAGTAATGACAGTGAAAGTGCCACGGATTTTCTTCTCCTAACGCGTATAATTACTTGCAAATGTTATGAAGCTGGAAGAATCTAGACCAGCGGTTCTCAACCTGTGACCCTTTCACAGGGGTCGCCTAAGACCATGGGAAAACACATACATAATCACATATTGTTTTTGTGATTAATCACTATGCTTTCATTATGTTCAATTTGTAACAATGAAATTGGGGGCACCACAACATGAGGAACGGTATTAAAGGGTCGCGGCATTAGGAAGGTTGAGAACCACTGGTCTGGACAAAGTTTCTTCTCCCATATGCAAGAAGGTAAAAAATGGCTAATAAAAACCTCAGCCTGATAAATCCTGTTGCATTTAAATCAACAACACGGGCTTATTACACAACACTGCACATTGACTGAGGCCCCACCACCCGTGTAGTGAGGCACGCTGCAAAGCCGAGGTCACGACTGTTTCCGTGCAACTCAGATACATGCTGTTAATACTATTTTTCTCTCCAATTGCACGGCTGTTTCCACAGAGGTCTTGCTCCAGTGTCGGCGGAAGCCCAGAGGTTAGAGAGGGTCCAGGTGCAGAAACAATAGCCCACATCCAGGCATCATCAGTGAGCTCCGACCCCATCGCGGGCTCACAGAAGCTTCCGAATAACAGGGCGCCTTTCTGAGGCTTACAACAGAATTTATGGTTAGCAGCCAACATTTTACTATGCACGGGGCTCTGTTTTTAAGCTCCTTATATACAACCTCACTTAATTCTCATAAAAACACCAGTAAAAAGAAGTAACCCTTTTTTTTTTTTGCCGTGAGGAAACTGAGGAAAGGAGAGATCAAGGAACTCGCCCAATATTTTACCGAGAGCAGGAGGCAGAGCTGGCTGTCGGGTCCTCCAGGGAGGACCGGGGAAGCACTGAGAGAGCAGGAGACCCTCAAACTCCAATACCTCGCGAGCCCGCCCCCGACTCGGGAGGCTCAGCTGAGCGGATGCTCGCCGCCGCCGCCGCCTCCACGCCCGCCCTCGGCCGCTGGCCGGGGCTCCCTTACTCAGGAGGGAAGACCCAGTCACTGCTCGCCCCGCGCCAAGGCAAAGAGAGCGCCAGGACGCGGAGTCAACTCACCTAACTGCGAGAACCTCTGCCCCAACCTCGCCTTCCGAGAGCGGAAGTGCCTCGGTCTACTCACGGTTCCTGGACTACATTTCCCAGAATCCCCAAGAGGAAGCGTCGAGTTTTCACGCACTCCGGTACTACGTTTCCCAGAATGCAGCTCGCAGGGCCGCTCGTCCCACCCGTTGGCTTGCTTTGACTAGAGAGGATTCCGATGGAATCTGGCGCTTAACTGTCAGATTCCTTTTTGCTTTATTCATTTCTTAAAACTTATGAGAAAATAATTGCGGGTTTTAAAAAATGCGGCCACTTAAAAGAAAAAAGGGAAGACATGGTAATGACAACTGTGTGGGAGGGTAGCTAAGTATGTAGGAAGTCTCAATCTTCAGTGTCCAAACTGTGCAGCCAGGAGGGGAGGGGAGGAGGGCAAGTGCAGAATAGTGTTTAATTCCTTTACCTCCTCTAATCCAAAGGCACCTAAGAGTTCTTGACATGTTTTGCTGAATGAAATTCTTCATTCAAATATTCTAAGAATTTACAAAATGGCAATACAAACATTGATTAGGCTGTAATAGAGAAAAATCTTGAACTTTAAAAAAAATATTAGCTGTTATGTATGGCAAACAAAGGCAGCTCCACTGCAGGTAATTTAAGAAAATATTGTGATGTGTGCATATGTAGTATTCTGAATTGTTTTCTAATTTGCGTTCAGCTTCAGACATTTCATTACGTATTTCTAATATCTTCTCTATATATAAACACCTAAGTGACCATTGCAACCGAAACTATTGAACAGGCTGCGTGGGGCGACCAGGCCGGCAAGAAAATATTGTGATGTGTGCATATGTAGTATCCTGAATTGTTTTCTAATTTGAGTTCAGCTTCAGACATTTCATTACATATTTCTGATATCATTTATATATATATGCCTAGGCAACCGTTGCAACCGAAACTATCAGACAACCGAACAGGCTGCATGGGGCGACCAGGCCAGCAGTGGGGTTAGTGAGGGACAACCAAACGACTGAGCAGCAGGCTGCAAAGATGGCGGCGCCCACAGCCAATAAGGAAGGAATATGCTAATTGACTGCCACGTCCTTACAGATGGAGGCGCCCACAGCCAATAAGGAGTGAATATGTTAATTGAATGCAACGCTCTCAAGGATAGTGGCGCCCAT